CCCTTGATCAACGATCTACTCGAAGATCTGGAATCGACACTTTGGTATTGTTCTTTGGACATGGCAAGTGGATTTTGGGTCGTGAAAATGACGGATCGTGCGCGCCTGATCTCGGCTTTTATCACTCCGTTTGGGTGGAATCGAATGCCTTTTGGCCTGAAGAATGCGCCCCAGATCTATCAACGTATGATCGATAATGCGCTATATGGGTTCACCCGGATCCCGAGGTCTGAGGATCACGGAAGTACTGCGGATGTGTTCGAGAACGGGGAACCGGTGGATCCAGGCAAGCCTTCGGTGCTTGGTCGCAGATCATATATCGATGACATCCTGATCCCCGCAGATAACTGGGATCAACTATGTGACCGAGTCGAGGGGTTGCTCGAGGCTTGCGATAAGTGGAATCTGTCGATCAGTGTGGTTAAGAGTTTCTGGGGGATGCCCAAGGTGGAATACCTGGGTCATAAGGTCTCACACAATGGACTGGAGGCGAATCCAAAAGACCTGTCCGCATTGACTGATCTAGCCTTTCCAGGATCACTCAGAGCTATGCAATCATTTTTGGGAAGTCTGAACTATTATAGCCGATTTATTGACGACTACGCGATCTACGCGTCGGTCCTGTACGAATTGAGAGAAATCGACTTTGCTGCGATGACGAAAGAAGCTACCCAAGCGCGGATCCAACAAGTACTGGAAAGGGAGGACGTAGATCAAGGATCGCAGGAAGATCAAGGTGTCGACCACCGAAAGACTTTGGATCTGGATTCACCCGACCTTACTGAGGTGGATTCGCGGTGGATCCACGCCTATCGGTCTTTCAACTTGCTCAAAACCAGGATTGCCACCACTCCGATCTTACGACATTTTGATCCGGATCGGAAGGCCACAGTGGTGGTGTACGCTAGCGATTGGGCCATCTCGGGAGCGTTGAGGCAAGAATACGACCAGATCTACTATCCCGTGATGTTTGCAAGTCGTACTCTGAAGTCGAACGAACTAAACTACGGCATCGCGGAGAAGGAGGTACTAGACCTTCTGAGAATCCTGGACCTTAATTATAATGCGTTGGTCGGGCGTCCGATCCATGTGTTGACCCGACACTCAACATTGGCGTGGCTCTTCAGATCCACGGCCCTACAAGGACGTTTAGGGCAATGGGTCGCTCTGTTGTCGCCTTGGACACTGGAGATCACCAAGTGTGTCAAAGGAGAGGATGGGATCTTGGGGGCACTGGCTGCCAGTATTACCCCTAGATCAGAAGTGGATAAGGCGTTGATCTCAATCGCTCCCAAGAAGGAGCCAAGACGTAGGATCCAAGCTCCGATCCCCACTATCAGACAAGATGAGGAGCAGTATGTCGTCAGTTTCGACGGATCAGCCCGTGTCAAGAGAGGTGGAGGCGCCTACAGCGCGATCTTGTGGAAGCTGCCCGAATGGAGAGTGTTAAAAATCTAGATCAGGGTATGCCGAAGGCTTGACGGTGAATGCGGCGGAGTACCATGGGCTACTACTATGTCTGGATCTGTTGGAGGATC